TCACACTTGACAAATCCAAGCTTTAAACCCCTCATTCGATTCGACACTGTAAGCGGGAGTTTGGCTTGAGCTTAAGTTGCGCCTGTTGGAAAACTAGTAGAACTATTGCATTTTCCGCTTGAGCAATTCTTTTTGCCTTAACTTAATAATACGTAGCCTAGTGCCTAGAATCCGTAGACGGAAGCCTAGAGGCCAAGGAGCGCTAAGCCAATCGAATCGAATCGAATGATTTGGCCGAGGCTTGCGCCCGTTGAGGTTATGGTTGAGCTGGAGTTCGGCGACGGTTTTGTAAGTTATACAGTTAGTCTAGTCGCAAAAAGTAGTGTACCAGTTGCCGTAGTGGTCCAGCTGCTGCTACTCGCATTTCTTCTACGCGAGCCATCTAACCATGTGTGCATTCTCTGCCCCATTGTGCGCCATCACATCACCCGCTATCCAATCCGATCCAACTCGATCCGGCAGGAGGAGATGCACGAGCAGATGTCCGGGTACAAGCGGATGAGGCGGGAACACCAGGCGCACCTGCTCAAGCTGGAGGAGAAGTGCAAGGTGGACATGGAGGCGCACAAGACGGCCCTGGACAAGGAGTACGACACGCTGCTGCACAATTTTACAAGGGACCTCGAGCGGCTTGAGGTGAGTGCATGGAATGGAATGGGGGTTCTTGGAGCTGGTGGATCTCTAACCAATCCAAATCGATTGCAGACCAAGCATCAGCAGGACGTGGAGAGGCGGGCTAAGCAAACGAGCGCCGCCGAGAAGAAACTACACAAAGAGATTACGCTGAAGCAGGAGGGCGACCGCAAGGTCTACGACCTGAACCGCAAGAAGGAGTACAAGGCGAACAAGGAGAGGTGGAAGCGGGAGCTCTCCATGGACGAGTCGACGCCCAAGCGGCAGCGCGATCTTACCCTGCAGTCGCAGAAGGACAACCTAAAACAGCACGAGGCGCAGGAGGAACAGCGCATGCTCCAGGCCCAGAAGCAGTACATCGAGCTGGAGATGCGCAAGTTCAAACGCAAGCGCATGATCATGCAGCACGAGCACGAGGACCAGCAGCTCCGCGACGTAAGTGACGAAGGCGGCAAGGCCATGTGGTTGCTGTCGGTGACCTAACCTCTTTTGTATTTCATAGGAGCTCGGTAAGAAGGAGCAGCAGCTGGAGCAGGCGCACGCCATGCTCCTTAAGCACCACGAAAAGACACAGGAGCTGGAATACCGCCAGCAGAAGAGCGTGCACCAGTTGCGCGAGGAGCAGGTGCGTCTCATGGATCCCTGCGAGTCCACGCAATGACCCTCTAATCTCCCCAAAATCCTCCACAGATTAACAAGCAACACGACACAGAGTTGCACAATCAAAAAGACTACATGGACCGCATCAAGAAGGAGCTGGTGCGCAAGCATGCGGTCGAGCTGAGGCAACAGCCCAAGAGCTTGAAGGTATGTATCATGTGCGAGAGTGGAGGTGACCATATTCTAATCACCCATCATCATCCCCTCCTCGAGCAGCAAAAGGAGCTCCAGATACGCAAGCAATTTCGGGAAACATGCAAGACACAGACGAAGCAATACAAACGCTACAAGGCGCAAGTTCTGCAGACGACGCCCAAGGAGCAGCAGAAGGAGGTCATCAAGCAGCTGAAGGAGGAGAAGCATCGCAAGCTGACGCTGTTGGGCGAGCAGGTGCGTGATAAGCAAATTTAACAGTTAAACAAATGTATTATTATTATTAGGAAATTGTAGTTTTATAACTGATATACAGACGCAAAGATCGTCTTATACTTTCTAAGAAATTACGAAACTACCATAAAAACCAATTGTCAATCCGTTTCGTTTGCAGTACGAGCAGAGTATTGCGGACATGTTCCAAAGTCAGAGCTACAAACTAGACGAAAGCCAAGTGATCGAGTGCCAACGTACCCACGAGCAGCTGGAGTACGAGCTGGAAATGCTCACTGCCTACCAGAACAAGAACAAGAAGCAGGCGCAGGAGCAGCGGGATCGGGAACGTCGGGAGCTCGAGAACCGGGTCAGCGTGCGGCGAGGTCTGCTCGAGAATAAGGTGAGTGTGCCCTCTCTGAGCCGGGAAAGTGGAGCCCCCAAACTGACCACTCGGACCTCTTCTCAACCCACAGATGGACGCCGAGTTGCAGCAATTCAACCAGGAACGCGCCGAGCGCTTGCGCATGAAACACGAGAAGCATACTAAAGAATTGCAAGCATTTGATAACGAATCAATTGCCCTAGGTTTCAGGTAAATGCCAATGATCCTTGAGAATTCGCGAACTAATCGGGTATCGTCTTGCAGCACTTTATCACTAATTGAGGTATCTCGTGAAGCCTATGCAGATGAGGAGGGGAGTTTGTCTGGTTCAATGATTAGTTTAGCCCATAGCAATAGTTCAACAAGTTTTCCGGCTGGTTCGCTATAGCATAGACAACAACAACAACAACAACCACAACAAGGCCAACCACAACAACAAGTGTTTAGTAATATAAACTACTTCAATTTTAATGGAAATTATAAAGCCAGCAGTACGACAGCAACAACAACTAGAACCCGACAAAATCCACAAAAACCGCAGCTGAGAAACCAAGAACAACAATAGCAATGTTTTTGTAGGAACACCCATTAATAGTAGCAATCAATTATCGCATTGGTTGCCCAAAAAAGGACACGAAAACCCAAGTATTTTCTAAAAGTTACAACAAGCAAAAGCTGCAATAGTTTTGTATTAAAGGAAATTCGATTGGAGAAGGCAACAAGATACTAACATTTGAAACCATTTAATACAAGATCAATCAAAAACAAAGAAAAAGAAAAACCAACATAAATAAATAATTATATATGTAAGCATAAATGTCATACACAAACAATAACACAACAAACAAAAACAAACAAACAAACAAGCAAACAAAGATCAACATCAAACTTTGATATGCATATGCAAAGTGTTTAAACTTACGTTAAATTCTAATTTGATATTATTACCGAGTAAATGAATCAATGAGCATTTTGATATGTTAACGATTTCCATTTGTGCTATCGCGCTGCAAAAATGTTACGAACAGAAATAGGTGTGTATTATTTGTTAAAAAAGAGATAACTCGCGGAAAATAGATCATTCGGTTTGCCTTCGCATTCGGGTTTGCGAGAAATTTAAATGTTATTTTACAATTGATTGTCGACGGGGGCTGCGATCGCAGCTCACAGTTCCATCCACATATCGATTGCCATTTTGCATGTTGTTAGGTTCAACATTTTCGGTTTACGTTATGTTTTTCTTATTTTGACTTCGATTGCGATTCAAATAAAAGTATTTTTTAAAAGAAAATATTACATTTATTCTTTTATCTGCTGTACAATAAGTTTTATGGCCAAAATTATTATAAACCCAGCAAATATTAAAATGCAAAACGATAACGATTCATTTTGTTTACAATTAATTTAGTTTTGTTTGTTATAACAAAAAGGATATAATATATATATATATAACTAAAATAAGCCTATTTTAGAGTTAATTAATGCAAATTGCAAAATGCTTAGTCAAAACAATAAAAATTGTATAGAAAATTAAAGCATATAAACGTTTAATTATTTAAAGATTTATGTTTACGTGGAAATATTATTCGAATCAACGGAAACCCCACTCCTACAGAAGGAAAACCATACAGAAATGCGAATTAGAATGCTCGGCAAATGCGAAAATATGTAGCAAATAATATTTTACTAAACAAAATAGAGTGAAGAAAAGCAAACCAACCGTATATTTCCGTTAGTCATTAATTATATTAAATTTAACACAAATCTCTATGAATACAGATGAGGGAACGATAAAAGATCAATACGAAAGCAGAGATTGAAAGTAATATTCCGGTTTTTTGGTTGATATTGGTGGGTGGGATAACCACGACGATCATTATTACTATTATGGAGGCATATTATTTCGGTATATATCAACATCAACCTACAGAAAACATGATCGATGAATGAAATGAAGCAAGACACGATAACGAGAGAGATAGAGATAGCTAAAAAGAAGCACGGGGAACACAATATATGTAATATTTTTTATGTTTATAAAATTGTTTTTTTTTATTATTATGATAATTATTATATGAATATAAATTGTATTTTTGCAATTATGGTAAATGAAGAAGAAAAACGAATAACAATTAAATTGATGCACGTCAATGTCAATAAAATAAAACTTATTTAAAAATACACTCTTGGTTTGAGTTCTGCCTAATGGGACATAGACGGAGGTTTTTGGGTTAGGACCTTTTATATTTTGATAAAATATCTCATTTTAATTCTATCTCAATGATTTTGTTTATTAAAAGTAAGGATTACAGTTTTGACTTCACAAAGGGGGGTTTAATATTGACTGGAAAAATGTCGGATTTGGAACGTGGTCATGATGTTTTCTTCAAAAAATTCCTCACCTGTTTATTGTAATCTGGAGAATTTAAAAAAAAGATGAGAACTACCAGGTTTTGTTATGCTTGACATTTATTTTAGATTTGAATAAATGGTTACACTTTACATCGAGTAATAACTTCTGACAAAAATATTTTCTGCATTCGTAATCTCAATACCAAGTCCCCTTTCAACAGTTACCCATTCCTTATTGTTATACATTAAAGATGAGAATATTTATATAAAGAAATGTATACACACATAGTTTCAATTAAATTCAAACTTCTGTTGGTTTTGGTGTTTCTGTAGAGATTTCTTCTGATGCTCAAGCTAAGTAAGCAAAAAGTAAACTTCCTTAAATTAAAAAATATATATTTTCGCGGCAAAAGCCCAGGACCAAAAATCTCAGTGGTTTTTGTTTCTACACTTTTCTCACCTTCACAACTCACTTATCAGAGTCCAACTTGAATTAGCCATATCGTATGGTCAATAAATATTGTGATGGAACCACCCAATTCAAATTCAATTACAGCGGTGAGTCAATAAATTGTGTTAAGTTGTTTGTATCGTCTGCATTAAATAATATTCAATGGTGTTTCTTTTTATTACAATTAGAATGCATCGAATAGATATGGTGCCTGTAGCGCTTGGCTAGAAAGTTGGGAGGTCGGGGTGTACCGGTTTATATATCGATTATATACTTTGTAACTTTTACAACTGGCTAGAGAATATAATATAACATTTACTAATTACTTTATTGTGATATTATTCTTCTTGCACAAGCCTGAATGAATTAAATTTGGAATTATTTTCACTTACAACTATAATCCTTTCTTGCACAATTTTTAATGAATTTAATTTGGAATCTTTTTCACTTAAGACTATAATCATAAATATACATTTTTGGGTATATATAAATATAGGCATGTATATATATATATACATGTACATGTTTCATATACGATACATAGAATACAAGAGTAAATGCCGCGATCGAAAAATATATGCTTTCAATGTGCTGGCGTATCCTTAATAACCAAGCCATTTACAACGCCCCCAGCAGATGCTGAATGCACTAGTCCGCATTCCTTATCGCCGCGCTGCGCCGCTTGTCCTTTCGCTTTGGTCTCGGCTTCAGCGGTTCCGACGCGTTTCATCCGCGTGCCAGGCCGTGGTCGTTGGACAGGCGATGGGCCTCCAATCGGCTCAGCCGCCGCCCTCACGAGCTCATCAGGCTGTCTAGGAAGGAGTGTTTGTTGACCACCTTTGTGGTGGCAATCAGGAACTCCACGTTGTTGTCCTCTTGGGCTGCCAGGAACCGCAGTGCGGCAATCTCGGCGAAGGTGCAACCGCCCACAAAGCAGACCAGCACCACACGCGGCACATTCAGCAGCGATCCTTCGCTGACCGTACCGACCGTTTGCCGTCCGCCGATCCCCACCAGCTGCGCCTGGAAGTCCTCGAACGTCGGACCGGGCAGGTTGTTGATCTGGCTCTTGAGCGACAGCCAGCCGAGCGGCTTGAGGGAGTACTCCACAACTCGGGCGGTCAGCGGGGCGTAGAAACTGTGCACGTAGCTGATGTCCTTTGGCTCCACCTCGACATTGTCATCCACGGTGAGGTGAAGAGTCTGAAATAACGATTTGGATGAGGTAGAGGCAGTACTACTTGGGCTCTTGATTGCCGGTCACCTTTCGCAACACGCTGTAAGCCCGCGACTCCGTCTGCAGGTGGAGGAGGCCCGACTTCTCCAGATTGCTGATGGTAAGCAGCACCTCGAGGCCGTATACGTGGACCAGTTCGCGTTTGTAGTGGTTGAGCAACTTCTCTTTGAACCCAGAGGCGGCGTTGCACTGGAGGCAGATGAGCCGCAGGACGCGGCGCAGCTCCACCTTGCAGGCGATCAGGTCCTCGATGTAAGCGCTCGGCTTGTCGATGTCCGCGCAAACCATAAACTCCTGCTCGGCAGCCAGGTCGTCGGCGAACCGCACCTCGTTCACCAGTTCGTGTAGTAGCCCAGCGATGGCCGTGTGCTCCGAGGTGGCCTTCTTCTGGGCCATCAGCTGCGGCAGCAAGTTCTCCACGAAGCTCTTGATCTCCTGCACGCTCTTGTCCTGCGAGGTGGCGTGCATCTGGACGTGGATCTCGCGTGCCTTTCGGGCGAGAAGCTTTGTGACCTCGTTGAAGTGCTTGTTGCGCAGCTCCGCATACAGCTGCTCTCCGGAGTGCAGGAGGATGGTCTTCTTTTCGGTGTCGCCCAGTAGGGACTGTGATTCCTCTGCCCGCGAGCCACTGCCTCCGCCACCGCCGATGGCTCCGTCGGAGGGAAAGTTCTCGGCGGGTAGCGTCAGTTTGTTCTGCCGGATGCCGTAGAACTCGTCGATGAGCCCCTCGTATGTGAGTTGCGTGGCCAGCGGACTGAGCAGGTCGATGCTTCTGTCTAGAAGGATTAACTGGTCGACGACGCCCTTGTCGCCGTTGTACAGAGTGCGCTCGTCGCGGCCCAGCTGCTTTGCGTGCTCCCAGACCCTATGCGCAAACTCGCCCTTGCCGTAGATCTTGGGAATGCGCCCGTATAGCCGCTGCAGCTGCACCAGACCCACTGCCGCCTGGTACAGCGAGCTGGTGTCGCCATCGACGCTCACGTCGCGGAATGCGTTGGGCAGCTCCATGGACACCAGGTCGGCGTCCAGCGGCAGATAGTTCCATGCCAATTCGGCGATGTGCCCGAAGTTGCCCAGTACGCCGCTGACCTCCAGTTGGCTGACGCACAGGCAGGAGCGTCGCGGGGCGAACAGGATGTGGTACTGTCGTCCAGCTGCCGCGCGACCTCCGGCCTTTACGTGGCCCGCCAGCTGCTCCATCAGCGCCACCCGAGGGCGCACCACGTACACCACATTGGCCACCTCGCGGGGCAGATGGAGCTCCGGCTTGAGGGCCAGCAACCGGATGCCCCGGTCGGCGAAGAGCTTCGGCCGGGTGACCAAGTCCAGAGGCCCGATCATGGCCTCGTCCAGTACGATAACCTTGGAGCCCTCGATGCGCTCCAGATGCTGCACCAGTTCGCGGCAGGCGGCCTCCTGCAGCAGTTGCAGGTTGACCCGCTGCCCGTGGCCCTTTAGGTGGGGGAACATGATCCCTTGTTTTGGTTTTCTTTGTCAACGAAAGTGGTGTTCAGTGGCTTCCCTTCCGGTTGGCGGTTCTCTTGGAACTCCTTGGAATCCTTTGCTCGGCGATGCGTTGGCGGGGCTGCTGCAACGCCCACGGATTTCGGCTGCGGAAGATTGGGGACGCGACTGTGTTTGTGGGCACTCAATAACAGCTGATTTAGGCCTGCGCCCGCTACATTTTAATCGAAGTTTATCGATGTTCACACTTTCGCAGATGTGAAAATAAATTCGAAACAGATGCAGTGACTTGAAAATATTTTGAATCTTTCTTTACTCAGACCCCATATGTAGGCCTTAGTTTAATTATATTATAAATAAATAAAGAGAACAATTTTGTATTTTTGCTGCAAGTACTTTGGTTAAGCATTCCATCAAGTGACTTCTTGTACAGCATATGAGCGCGCCCATGTTTAGGCCGCGACCAGTGTGTCCACACTTAAAAACATAATACCAAACTAATGCCAATTCAGTTTAGTTTTATAAAATTTGTCAGTTGCGATATGTCGTCGAACTAAAAAATGAGCAACTGCGTGTGCCACGAACGGAACGATCAGGATCGCAAGGAAGCACAGAAGAAGACAATTGGCAGATGCGGATGACAACCCTACGCACGCACTTCGCCTCTCAAACAAAACAAGAAACTCACTCAAAACTTGGGCTCAATTGACCCAGCTGTAAATTGTAACTGTAAAACGCGAGGCGCGCAACGGTGAATCGCCATCGTCGCCATGAGCAGAGTCGATCCGGTGCGCCAAGTGCTTGCCGATTTGATCAGCGAGACGCAGTAAGTGGTGGAGAGTGCACAGGTGGCCAGTCGAACTAACCGCAGCTCCTTTATCTTCTTCTTCCTCTCGCGCTGCACTCCTACACTCCACAGGGCACCCTACACACCCGAGACCATCGTGCGCGAATTCCGGGCCACCTACGAGCGGCGTCTGCCCCTCCAGGAGCTGCTCAACATCCTAGTGAACATCAGCGTAAAGCGCCCCAACTTCAACGAAGTGACCGAGGAGGTCACGGACATCCTGAGGCGCAAGGATCCCATGTACGCACTGCTCGTCTTCGCCACACGCTACAGTAAGGGCACCCTGACCTCCAGATCCAACGCCAGCAGCGAGATGACCTCCTCGCTGGGTAGCAAGTTCTCGCTGGGCTCCTCGTCGGACAACTGCTCTTCCGCCCCCTCAACGGGCCACTCGTCGGCACCATCAACGGCACACTCATCGGCACCATCAACGGCACACTCATCGGGTCCAGCAACGGGCTCGTCCAGAATAAGCCTGCCGCAGGCCCAGGACATTCCCACCTCGACGCCGGTGAGCAACAGGAAGAGCGGCGACTTCGAGACCAGCTCCGCCGGCGGTGGAGGAGGAGGAGTCTTCACCAGGCGCCGCACATCGCAGCGTAGTACAGGATCAAGCAAGGAGGACCGGGATCGCGGCGACTTGAGTGTGGTGAGTGTGGAGTGACTGATCTTAATAAACCTCTTCCTTTATGTACCTTATTTACCCCCCGCGCAGATCAAGGAGCGCGTGCTGAGCGCCGTTTCCAACCGTTCACTCAACAGCTACCGCTCGCTGACCAGCGATGCACCCAGCAGCAGAGCGAACATCGCCAATGGCAGCGGTGCCAAGACGCCAACGCACTCCGTGGTGGCGCCCACAGGCCTGCCCGATGAGGACCGCACCCATTTGCTGTGGGACTACTACAAGGTGGACGGGAAGAAGCTGCAGAAGCTGGAGATCGCTGCCCTGCCGATGATTAGCCAACAGAATGTGCTGCTCAGCGAGCTTCTGCACTGCCTCACGGGCGTGCGCGAGAATTCACTGGTGCCCCTGCAGCCCGACCATACCAGCGTGGGACTGGCCAAGTTCGAGACGAGCTTTGCCATTCACATGCAGCTCGACCGCTCGCTGGCGGAGCTGGTGCAGGACATCCTGCCACTGGCCTCCTACTTTATGGGCATACAGAAGATTGTCACGGCCACCGATGGTCAGGGTCAGGTGGTCAACTCGCTGAACGAGGCACTGCAGGAGCTTACCCACGACTACTATGTAAGAGTTATGCGTTCCTGTTAGATTCATGTCTAACTTCTTCCCCTCTGAATCCAGCTATTGATCGTACAAGCCGATGCGGAGCTAAAGCACCAGCGGCTGACGTTGCAGAAGTTACTTTACTACCTGCAGCCGACGATCTGGGTGTTGGAGGAGATCTGGACGTCGTTAGTGGACATACAGCTAAGCAATCACTGCGATGCCGCTGTGCTGTCGTATCTGCACGAGCGGATCAAGCGACTGGAGGGCGACCGGCAGGCCCAGCGGCTGATCATTGGACTGGCGCGCAAAGCGGCTGAGCCGTACATGCGTATGCTGAAGCTGTGGATCCAGAAGGGTGTGATTGTGGACCGCAACCAGGAGTTCCTTGTGGAGGACAACGAGGTTATTCACCGCGACGAGTTGCCAGAGCACTACTCGGACGACTACTGGGAGAAGCGCTACACAGTTCGCCGCGGCCACATACCTTCGTTTTTGGAAAAGTACTCGGACAAGATTCTGCGCACCGGCAAGTATCTCAATGTGATCCGGCAGTGCGGCAAGCGGGTGATGCCCACGCAGGAGATGCGCCTTGAGTTCGACCCGACCAGCGAGCTGCATGTGTCCGTGATCAACGACGCCTACTACTTTGCCGCACGCATGCTGCTGGACGTGCTGCTGGCGGAGAACGACTTGATGGGCCACCTGCAGTCGGTGAAGCGTTACTTGCTGCTCAATCAAGGCGACTTCACCATGCAGTTCATGGACGCGTGCGAGGACGAGCTGTCCAAGAACGTCGACCAGGTGCTGCCCATGACGCTGGAGAACCTACTGGGGCTCACGCTGCGCCTTTCCTCGGCTCGGAACGATCCCTACAAGGACGATCTGCACTGCGAGCTGCTGCCCTATGACCTGGTCACGCAAATGTCCAAGATAATGAACCAGAAGGAGGAGTACTGGCAGTCGCAGCATCGCCTTGAGCTTAGCGGCATCGAGTGCTTCGCCTTCACATACGAGGTCAAGTGGCCCGTGTCGCTGGTGCTAAACCACATCGCCATCTCCAAGTACCAGATGCTCTTTCGGCAGCTCTTCTACTGCAAGCACGTGGAGCGTCAGCTTTGCAAGTGGGTGGTCCATCCTTGCCAAGCTTAAGATCGTTTTTAAATTTTTTCTCAATCTCTATTTGCAGGATTTGGAAGGAGAACTCTATTGCCAAAAAGTTCTCGCCGCAAGCGGCTGAACTTTACCGATCGGCATTCACTCTGCGCCAGCGCATGATGAACGCCATCCAGAACCTGGAGTACTACATGATGATCGAGATCATCGAACCCAACTGGCACATCTTTATCGAAAAGATGAAGAAGGTGGAGAATGTGGACAACGTGCTGCGCCTGCATCAGGACTTCCTCGACTCGTGCCTCAAGAACTGCATGCTGACAGAGTCCTCGGAAATGAACCGCTCTATTTTCAAGCTGTGCAACGTCTGTCTCAAGTTCTGCGACTTCATCCAGGTGAGTCCACCTGGCGAGGGCGCCATGTGCAGTTTAATTCTATGGCTATTGCCGGCGTGTGCTTCTCTTGTACAACTTTCTTGTCTTGTTCCCTGCTCTGCTTTCACACTCTCCGTCTGTCTACACTTCTCCCGCCTGCCAACGCCTCCAAATCCGAATCCATTTCCCATGCCCATCTCAGCGCTCGCAGCGTTTCTTCCTGGACGCCGAGCTCAAGTCGATGGTATGTGACACCCACGACAGCGCGGACAGCTCCGAATCCGAACCGGAGAGCTCGCACCGGTCACAGGTACAGGTACAGGTATTGTGTAGGCTCGTTTTAGTTGCTGCTTTCTTTTGTACTTCCGTTGGCAGTGGCTCACGTTCCGCTCCCAGAGGATCCCAGCTGGATTGCATGTCAGCATGACCCCAATTCTTACTACCATTTTTCTTTTCGCCCGCAAGCGGCTTCCGCTATTTTCTTCCGACTTTTTTGTTTTATAACATTATTTATTTTAAAAATTATTTTTAATATTTCTAACAAAAATCTGTTTAATTTGGAAACTATATCAATTATCCTTGCACTTCTAACAACAATTGGCGTACCAATGATTTTTGTTATTTATAGTTAATCAATGGGGAAAGATGTTATAAAAACAATCTTTTCAAAGATATATACATATTGGTAACTCGAAATTTTTTGTAATATGTTATTATTATATAATGTAGAAGTCCTTAAGCTTGCCAAAAATGTACTTATATGATAGGTTATTTATTTTTATAGTTTTGTACTTTAGTTTGTTGAGCTTAGAAAACAGGTAAACGTTTCCTTATATTAGGTTTAAATTCTGTAGTACTTTAGAACTATACAGAAATTTGATCAATATTTCACATTTCATTTTTGTAGGATTTGATAAATAGTGGATAGCGTTGTGGGATTTGAGCGATGCATTTTATAGATTCTATTCGAAAAATTCCAATGTTTCTGGTCACAGTCCTTAGCTATATTGTTTGTTTTAGAAGATTTTTACATTTGGTTCATCATTTTTATATTGGCTAGCTTAACTCCGGTTCTAATTATTGCTTTTACTATTTATTGACGCTGTTCCGATGATTAACTTGCGATTTCTGTGTCCTCTGTTAGTTGGAGACCTCGTTGGATCCTGCAGATACGTTCTCGGAGCGTGTTACGCGCTTTGATCTAGAGTTCACCGGCTTACTTATATCCTTCCTTCAGCAAATCAATACTATGGCAAAGAAGAACACCGCCGATCGCTTCATGAATCTCGTGCACCGCATCAACTTCAATGCATTCTACTCGGATCAAATGGATAAACTGTGTGCGAAGGATGCCATGGGCCAAGCCAACTCTTAGAACGGAATATGTGGATATGGAAAGCATAAAAGACGAGAAAAAAGTATTAGATAAATGAATTTAATAATCACGAACCGCACATTAAGTTAGAGTGTTTTCCCATCATTCCCGCATGTCTTATAATTTGCCATCCAACTAAACGCACAAATTGTTTTTCGTTTAGTTGTAAAATTTCGAATATTTATGAACTAATAAACCCAATGATATGTAACACCTCTGTCGCTGCCGTTTGCGTCTACACAATTGCAATCAACGTCACTGGACAC